TTTTACAAGAGAAAATAACTAAAGAACTATATAAAAGAGGACATTAGCATCGTCAATAAACATCTCTAACCTTCACAAAGTCGTCATTCTGCGGACTAAATTAAATCCACAGAAACACTCGCTAGTTTATATATTACTTAATCAAAACCGTTCTCTGTTTAACTTATTTGATGCCAGAATAGTCTGAAATTGATGTCTACAAGATCCTATTCCATGTTTTAAACTGCACATTTGCATTAATTTTTTAGCCTGAATTTCATCCGATTACTTCGAGTCGTTATTACTCCCTCAATAACGTACATTGTTGAGAGGAGAAAAAGACTCGAAGCAATCGGATGAATTTCAGGCTATTAATTTTTCAGTTCAAGGAAAGTACTTACATATATTCAAGGACAGTTTCAAGAACTTCCCTGCTAAATATATACCTACACTTAAACAAGAGTGGTTCGGCTTTTTAAGCCATTATTGTTAACTTTCTTTTAGAAAGCAATACAAAAATTAGTACTACTAATTTATTTCGCTTGAGGTAAAAAAATTAGTATTTTAGTTTAGTTTAGCGCCACTGGAGAATGGTTAATAGCCGTTCAAAAATTTCAACGATTTCTGTTGGTATATAAATAGAAAGTTGTTCAAATTAGACCAAGGGAGAAGATCTAAATAAAGTTTGTTTGGAGGAGATATTTGATCTTAATGAAATAATATCAGATAATAAATTAAGCCGATTTAAGATCGACGTCACACTTTGTAACAAATTAAGATTTTCAAGACGTGAATTAACGCATGACCAGACTCACTTAATATCACCCAGTGAGTTTTGCGCATTTTGCTCAGAAACCCCCAAATATTTTTTGCTAAACTCACGTTCTTGTTTTTTGTTGTAAAAATATGATAAAAAATCAGTCAAAGTCAAATTGTAGGGTAAGAAAATTTAAAATAAATAAATACACTTTGCAAACTAGTCAGTTTTGAGTTCAATGCGTTATCCTTTGCTCAATTTAAAAAACGGTTGCGAATGATAGCTTTGATGCAACGATATTTTTTGCACCTTTCGTGGCTGTAAGTGATTGAAGTGGATCCCACGATAGACTATTGATGACACTCAGTAGAAGAACCCCATTGGAACCGGCCAAATGCTCGTCTTAAAAGGGTGTCCGATTTATGGAGATTCACACAAAAAGACCAAAGTTCGGACAAGGACGGACTCTGTATCCGTTTATAGGAGGCGTCCGTTCAATAAAGACATCTATTAGAAGAGAGCCGTCGGTAGTTATAAGCTGCGCAAAGTCTTCGTTTTACGAAACACAGATTCTGTGTGTGTGTGTGTACGCGCGACCTTGAACTAACGAAATACGCTGGAGTTTCTTGAGCTTTCAGAGGTTCCTGTCATGCGCAGAGGGTATAAGTCGTATTAAAGTGAGACTCCCAGTGCAAGTTCTGCTTTTTCTTGTAACTAGCAAAACTTGACAATTTATCTTTTTTAATTGCCTGTCGAGGAGAAAATTGGCAAGCAGGGTTTCACTTACAAGGAAAACTAGTCATGACAACTTCAGGGAGCTCCTTTCTCATGAAATAAAGGCTTTAACTGCAGAGCTAAAATCCTAAGTAAACTATACAAAGTTCAGTGCTTCGAAGTGCTTACTAAAAGCTGTGAATTATATAATTCCTAACTTAAAAGGCTATTAAGCCTCTATTAAGACTTTCAAAATCGAAAAAAGGGATTTTTACTGATGCAAAGCTTGTGAAGCAAAATTCACCGATATTCATTAAACCTTAAAGAATTTCTTGCGAAAGAAAAGTCTCATTCGTAGTGACGCTTTCTAAATTCTAGTTTCAATATCTAAACAGAAATGTCTGGTAGAAAGCAGTATTTTTTAATGATTGGAGACATTTACATAGAATGAGCAATATTTTACGCAATCTCTCGAGACAATCGTTTCTGCTAAAAGGCCGATTGATCAATGCACAGTGAACTTAAGTTATTTTTTTCAATCAAAGCACTGGCTCCGTGTTCGACTGCCTGATAAATTTTCATTCAAGTGCTTTTATTTGTTGTGATCAGCCATTTATTGCTTTAAATTTTGTGTCTTTTCTCTGTTGCCGTGCATAAGAGTGATTTTTGTCGCATGCCGCAGCGAATATCGCTGATTTATGACAAGTCTAAAATGGTTGGGAAGGTCAAAGACGAAAATTAGCCAATTGGAACGCTTACTTTAAAGGTCCGATATATTTGATTCAGGAACAACTCTAGATAATGTCTCGTGCTTCATGTTACGCAACTTTCTCTCGTGATCGACATTTCTTAATTGCGCGATAAAGTTTAAGCTTACTCTGGTTTTACTTGAAGTAAAGCTAATTCTTCTGAGTATTTCTCATGAAGATCCCGTCACACTTGGCTAAAACGAAACCTCCAGAACGATGTTTGAGTGCAAGACTTTTATGCCGGCGGTCGGTATCTCTGTTCTCAAGCGCACTTGAAGTGAATGGATTTTAGTGAAAAAAGCACTTAAGGAGTGAAGCTGTTTTTAAAAATGTTTCTCACCCGTAGCTGAGAGGCAAAATATCACTCGTTTACGCACTCTTGTAATTCAGTACTCAAATATCTCGTCTATTTTTGTAGGCCCACATTTAAAGCTAGACGTCACTTGAAGTCAAGGTTTAAGAGTTAGACTCTTTTAAGTATCTAAACAAACAACCTGACTATGTAAGACTCGCCACACCACTCACTTGGTCAGTTCTTAGTTCTAGCAAATTGAATTCCCCTAGCTCCCTTTTGACTTGTGTGTTCATTCGTAAATGAGTCAGTATCATGCGCAATGTAACATTTAAGAAAAGACACCACGTCAAGTCTCGTGCTTCGATTTGTTAAATTCTTGTAACTATTTACACGATGTGGTAGTTACTTCAGTTTGTTGTTGCAATCTGAAACATTTACAACCTATATCCCTCTAGCATGTGAAGATCGTAGTTGAAGTGTAATGGCAATTTTGCTAGTGATTGTAGAGGGAATTTTATGCTTGAATTCTGGTTGCCAAACAGCCAGATCGTTTAAAAGCATTATGTTTCCGGTTTCCCTATCAAGTCAACTCGACTAAGTGTAAGCTAAGTCACCATACATACTGACTAAGACTTCCATACTTGCCTAAGTTCACATCGACAGTCCGGCAATACGTTTCAGGTAACCAACCAACTGACATTGCACTGTTGTTGAATTATTTCGCTCCCATGTTGGCCAACGCTGGTCCCGGACTGCCATATGGTATTTCTGTTGGTCGAACGTTAGGGTACTATTGACTGCAGTTTATCGCTATAATTGCAACATTGTAGGCTAAAAAATGTTTTGTCAGGACATCTACCTCGCCTTCTAGTCGCGGTGAAGCCGAAGCCAAATTATCACTAAATATCCGTCGCTTTTCGATAGCTGTATAAAACGAAACTTAATATTTAAGCGGCGTCGGCCGCTGTGGATCGGAACATTCTGGTTACCGCAGTTTGTAGCACTTATGTTTTGATGGATCAATACTGCTTTCCGTTGTAAACATTCCAGCATTTCAAGGTTATGATGGGCTTCCCCTGGAACCAACTGTTTATCTGCGTCGTCATGCTCAATTGGCGGGGCGGGGCGGGGCAGGGATTTCTCGCATTCTTTATCGGTGAGAAAGTACGCTCCTGGAATCCTTATTTTGTTGGAAAAGGGCGTTTTTGCCAGAGTTTAACCGACAAAAGATTGTTGAACGCTCATAAAATGAAAGACCATCTAGTGCGCATGTTCTGTAGAGTCTCAAGAGAAGTTGGATTCAATAAATTATAAGCCACACAAGGAAAGACTCATCGCTGCGACCCCAGACTTTCCATGTTTCTCGGCTGATAGCACGTGATCTCCACGAAAAATGAAGCCGAGTACTGTTTTTAAAAACAGCGAAGCCTGGGAATAGAGTGGAGGCTCTCTCACCAGTACCAGACCTCTTGTTACTAGAAAAGACTGCAAAAAGTCGTCTGTTCAAGTAGAGTTTTGTAGATGATGCAAGGTGACAGTGCGTAGTCATTAAGTGTTAAGTTCATTGCTGGAAACTCGCCTCATTTTGCCGAGTAGGACAAGTAGTACTCGAGGCTCAAAAACATACAAATTGAAGGTCTTCCAAGATAAAATCATATCGAAATTATACCCCGAGAATTACACGTCAAAACGGCAGCCATTGACTATAACCAGTCCATGCTACCTCAAAATCTCTAAACAACGCCTTAAAAAGCAACTGAAAAAGCTTCTCTTGCACTGGGATCGAAAATATTTTTGCAATTCTGTGTGTTCATTTACCACGCGTGCTTTTGAGTTTGAGATGGATCGGCGGAATAAAACCCAAACCTAGGGCAAACCTTTGCCACAATTTGTGAGTAGACATCAACTAAACAAAAGCAAGGGAAGAAAAGACAATCTAGGCTGATTCAGCGCTTCTTACTTCAAAAATCCGCATCCGGTATCCGCCTGCTCGAAGGTTCGATGCAAATGATTTCAACGCCGTTCCATTCGATAATTTACCCTATGATACCTTGTGGGCTGTGTCCAACCTCCTCTGCCTCATCTCTGTGCATTGTAGGATAGCTCTTTCTGATGTGATTGCTTTCCTTGATCTACCTTTGAGAGAAACTAGACGGCTGCGAGGCTTCCAGACCGTCAACAGAAAAACGTTGTTGTTGTTGTTTTTTTTTTTGGGGGGGGGGAAGGGGGGGCGGGGCGATATTTAAAGAAATATCTTAATTTATTTGACCTTTCCTAGTCTTTTTTTTTTTCAAGAAGATGCATTGGTTTGTTAGTTCAGAGAATAATAAAAATTACGTTTTATTTCCCTCCCTCAGATAAGCTAACCATGAAAGCAACGTGGTCCGCTCTCGTCGTTATTTTCATCACGCTTGTACTGTTAGAAACCAGCAAAGCTAAGCCTAGAGGGAAAGGCAAAGGCTTCGGTTATCTAACCTTCTCTGAGCAAGACAAGCTATCTTTGCCGTGTAAGGCAGAAGAATTTGATCAAACCATTCAGGAAAAGGGCTGCGAAGCCAAAGTCATTCAGAACAAAATTTGCATTGGGCAATGCTTCTCATATTATGCTCCCGGTACCCGCCCAAGAAAGGATTTGACCGATAAGAGGGTAAAGTACTGTGATACTTGTAAGCCTTCACTGAGGAGCTGGACCAAAGTCAGCTTGAATTGTCCTGGTGCAAAACATCCCCATGTTGACAAACTGGTGGAGGTGATCTACGATTGCACGTGTCAAAAGTGTGTNCTCGTCGTTATTTTCATCACGCTTGTACTGTTAGAAACCAGCAAAGCTAAGCCTAGAGGGAAAGGCAAAGGCTTCGGTTATCTAACCTTCTCTGAGCAAGACAAGCTATCTTTGCCGTGTAAGGCAGAAGAATTTGATCAAACCATTCAGGAAAAGGGCTGCGAAGCCAAAGTCATTCAGAACAAAATTTGCATTGGGCAATGCTTCTCATATTATGCTCCCGGTACCCGCCCAAGAAAGGATTTGACCGATAAGAGGGTAAAGTACTGTGATACTTGTAAGCCTTCACTGAGGAGCTGGACCAAAGTCAGCTTGAATTGTCCTGGTGCAAAACATCCCCATGTTGACAAACTGGTGGAGGTGATCTACGATTGCACGTGTCAAAAGTGTGTCAGAGAATCAAAATCAAAGCATAGGAAAAACCGTAAAAAACGTTAAGTCAGACCTTGTGCTTTGACTGAAGGAGTAACAAAAGTAATTCGCATTGCTTTCATTTTCATTATTGACTTAAAAACAAGTTTTACATTACCTACTTGTCCTCCTTGTAATTACGTTTGACATTTGGGTCGGGAAGGGGATTAGGTGGGCCGGGGGCATACTCTTAACAAATACGTCTTACGTTGGGGGGCTTAGCCCCGAGTACCAAACCCTTCCCTCGTAAATTAAAATAATTTTTAAAGAACTCGCAATTCCTTTCATACACTTTCCAATGAGGACGTAACCTATTTTTCACACTTTAACAGACAATACATGGACTTATCGACTAAGCTTTTACTTGAGTAACAAATCGATTGGATGACGGAATCAGCCGTTAGGTGTGTTTGTTCAAGATTTTTGAAATTCGCGTGTTAAATATTTTATCTAAAAAAAGTTTTTTATCCCCATTCTTTATTCTTCATCTCATAAAATCCCTTCTCTTTGATATATCTACGGCCTTAAAAAGGTACCCGTTGCGAGCGGAGCCCACCGATAAAGTTACCCTTGGGGCATAATTAAAAGGATCCTTGTGACTCTCCTGCTTGGCTTAAAGGAAACGATTGCAACGCAGGCTACTGTATATAGAAAGTATAGAGCTTATTAAGTAACGATTTTGAATATTTTAAGCCAGTGTCTTCCCTTCTTAGTTGCTCTAGTTTTTAGTTCTAGAGTAACCTATTCTTTCAATGAACTTTATGATAAGAAGGTTCCTAATGGGGTTCTTCAATCCCGTCATTTTCATCCAAATTTTCGTGACTGAATCGCGTCTTGCCGATGATCATTTCTGGCATCCTGTCTCACATGCATGCTTTGAAACCCGAATCACGCCCCGATTTTGCTTTCAAATCAAGAATTTCGAGTTTCAAGTAAGAGAAATCCCCGATCCCGATAATCTATTGGGGACCTCTGGTAAAGCACATTGTAGGCACAAGAATTCATCCCCGGGAGGGAACTCCCATATGAAAGGAGCAGGGATGCTCGTCGGAAATTTTGAATTAAACCCCTGAAGGAGACCAATCTAGGCGTGGCCCAACCTTTTTTTTGACTCCTAAAAGAGGCCATTTTAAACTTTGATTATATGAACAGAGTATATAAAACGAATGGAAATTATATAATATTTTTATTTTTCTTCGCGTGCAACCCTAAAAGAGACCTTTACGAGTAAATGAAATTGGGTTTTGCCCAGAGCACCCTAAGTGAGACCAAAATCCGACATTTACACCCCTAAGCAAGACGAGCATCCCCGTCCCTTTCATATGGGGGTTCACTTTACATAACTGATGTTTATTTTTATTGGTGAGGATACCAACTACACACATAGGTCCTATACATGCTATGTCCTCTAGATAAAGTTATAAGGCATGGAAACGTTAATAATACTCATGTTTTGGAATGAAATAAATAAGCATAATTAGCTATAACAATTTTCAATGGCAACAGCGGGCTGTCCATTTGATGAGTAAAAAAATTTCTTCCCAGACATGAAATATCCTAGAGGCTTTGCTTTTATAATAATGGTTTTTTTGAGAATTATGTGTATGCAGTTTAATAAAGGTCATATAACTATATCTCATATCATAATTTTTTATTTCGCAATCAACAAGCGCTGCAATATTGCAGGGACGGTGTAACGCTTGTTTGGGGACGGAATATATTGGAGTATTCTCGGTAACGGTTGGTGTTTCAACGACAGTGATTGATGGTCCCAATAGTCTCCATCCCCTTTCCTCAAATCTCTTGCCACGCCCTTCTTTCCAGGAAGAATTTCTCGACAAAGGCGTGGCTACACGGCTGTAAAACTCCACTTGGGTACATGTTGTTTCTTTTAACTGCGTTATAAAGGATCTTGCCTGGGAGCCTCTAAACTTGCCTGGGGGGAAAATAATTATAAATAAATGAATGACCAGTTTCTAGTCTGTAAGCAGGCCAGAGGGCACATGTCATCAAAGACTCAGGGAAAGGTCATAGAAGATGAATATGCGCGGGCCGGGCAAACTCGTTTCGGTCAAAGTTTACAAGAAGAGTGGAGTTTTACAGTGGGTGTTGATTACTATCTGTCGGAATTGTTACACGTAATCGGTTTTAAGTATCATAATTATTTTCTCACACGATATATTTCTGCATGCCAGTCAAATGAAAATGGCAAGGTAGAAGCAGCCGTCAAAACCGTCAATAAAGGTTTACTGTTATATGTAAATGGACGATTGCAGGCCCGTAGCCAGGTTTTTTAATGGGGAGGTGCGATCCAAAGAGGAGGCGGACCAAATGAGACCGGAGGAGCACGTCTATGGCTGTGTGTGTGTGTGTGTGTGGGGAGGGGGGGGGGGGGGGGTG